CCCCCCCCCCCCCCTCTCCCGCCAGGGAGAGTCGCACATCATGCAGCTGTTCGAGACGCTGGCTGAGAAGAGGGATAAGATCGCCGAGCCGCCACCGACCTTCCTCGACACATTCTTCGACGGAAAGTAGTGCTTCTCGCCGACTCCGCTGCTCCAGCGCCGCGCAACCAGTGTAGCGCCCGATACGCAGGGCCTGCCTCCGCGTGAGCACGGTTCTCGCCCTCTCCTAGCGGCGCGGCGTCCGCACCGGCGCGAGAGACTGCTCGGTCAGGACTCAGGTCGGTCGAGCTGGGGAGCTGGGGGGAGCTGCCGCTGCTCTGCGGCGCCACATCTACCGCTCGCGTGTTGTTGCGCGCGCGTGGCCGCGACGCAGTCGTTTCGAAGTATGCCATAAAGACAAGGCCCCAAGTTTCCGGAAAAAGCCAGTGGCGCCCCTTACTGCTTACACCGCGGTGACATGTACACATGTGCATGTGCATGTGCATGTGCGCGACTTGCGGTTCGTGGTCCTCGCTGCAGCTGTAGAGCTGGCGCCTCCGCATGAGCTGGAGGTGCTACAAGTCCCACCGGCGCGGCACCGCCCGCATCACCTGGAACTCGTCGAGGCACAGCTCCACCCACTTCTCGTCACTCTTGCGCTGCGAGGCGCGGCGGTGCGAGGTGGATAGTCAGCCGACCGGCGGCGGGAGGGAGTTCACGCGGCTGCGCAGCGGAGCGTGTCGGCGCGCGTCTAGACACGGGAGAGTATTTTGGAGGCTGCTGTCACCTGTGGCACGCTGCGGACCTCGTCGTTGTCCGAGTCGAGTTCGCTGGCGGGGAGGTCGAAGTCGTCCTGGCCGAGGACGTCCTGGGCCCACTCGTCGTCCACGATGTCTACCAGCTGAGCACGCCGGTGCAGGTACGCGATGAAGACTCCGTCGTCGGACCGCATGGCCAATCGAGCAAAGGACCCACCGGCAAGCGGCAGCAAGTGAAAAAGAAACTGGTGATCAGAATCGGACAGCATGTCTCTCTTCGTTCTCGTGCTCCCTCGCTCGGCCGGGCGGCGGAGGGGGTGGTGCGGAGGCGTCGCCGCCGCGCGTACGCTCGCGCGGGGCGGCGCTGGAGCCCACCTGCTGGCGCCGCCACGGCGCGACGCCCGGGGCCGAGCGCAGAGCCAGAGAGACCTGTGGCGAGGCCCAGGGGCTTCCAAAAACCGAGCATCTCGACGACGAGCAGCTCTCTTGCAGCGAGCAGCGGAGGAGGCGCCTGGGCGAAGGGGCCGGCGCGGCGGCTCGTGGCGCGCACACGCCCCGCTCGCCCGCGGCCGCTGTGGCGAGATTCAGCTTTGCCTCCTCGGCGACGTTTACGAAGCTGACCTCGCTGCTGTACTTCGGGCGCGGCGTTTGGCTCGTGCGATGCGCGTGGCCTGACCACGAGTCTCTGGGGGGGTCCTCGGCCACGACCCCCCCCGGGGCCAGTGGTCGGGCCAGGCGCATAGCAGGGGGGAACCCCCGCCCTAGGAGGAGGGGAAGGCGCTTGGTTTGGTCCGACCCCCGCCCTAGCATGAGTTGTTCTCACAACGGCGGCCCCCTCCCTGGAAGCGATTTCCGCCTGCTCTCGGGCTGTTCCATCTCCTCATCTCTTTCCCACGCCTACGACCTAGGCGGGGCGCGGTGGCCGGTGGGCCTCGGTGGGCGTGCACGTGCCGCGTGTGCGCGCGGGGTACGGGGGCGGCCAGTGCGGGCGCGCGCGGGGTCGCGCGCGGTGCGGACGCACTGGCCACTGCGGTGAGTCGGTGCGCGGTGTGTGACGTGTGGTATCTCTGGCGTAGAGCGAGAGGCTAGAGCGTAAGGTGCGGCGGGCGTCATGTGTGTGTCCCTTCTTGTTTCATATTAACATCGAAGGCAGCTCAGGAACGAGAAAACAATACAGTCTCCAAACCCCTACCACCACCACCACGCCATGGTCTTGCGAGACATATATGGTAGATCGTCGCGCCACGACCCCAGCACCCCACCCCTGCCCCCAGGGCCCCTGCTCCCCCGCCGAGAAGGTCCGGTAGGTAGGGAGGGAGGGGGGCGGCGCGCGGAGGGACGGTGGATGCGGCGGAACTTCAGAACTCCTGCGAGGCGCCCTTGCCGGCGACCTTCGACTTCTTGGGCAGGAGCACCGAGTGGATGTTGGGGAGGACGCCGCCCGAGGCAATGGTGACGCCGCCGAGGAACTTGTTGAGCTCCTCGTCGTTGCGGACCGCGAGGACGAGGTGGCGCGGCGTGACGCGCTTCTTCTTGTTGTCGCGACAGGCATTGCCCGCGAGCTCGAGCACCTCGGCAGCCATGTACTCGATGACGGCGGTGAGGTAGACAGGTCCGCCCGCGCCTGGATTAGGATGTGGGGCTGGGGGAACGATGCCGTGCAGGAAAGCACCGCGCGAGAACGAGTGCTGCGACTACAGGCCAAGGCGTGTATACGACCTTTGTCTTGAGTGCTAATCGGAGCGTGGATATCGTTGCATCTAGCACTCGAAGGCCATAGCGCTTCGCGAGGCGCATGGTGCGGAGCGCCCGCCCGATCCGCGCGACCGGAAAGGTGAGTCCTGCCTTGGCCGACTTGCTCTGCGCCTTCTTCTTGGAACCGCCACCGCGACCGCCCTTCACCATGATGTGTGTGTGTGTGAGCCAAAAGGGGGGCAGCGCGATTGAGGTGAAGAAGAATTTGAACACCGCACTCCAAGTGCTCCAAATTTTGCCCGGGCTGGCACAACACTGGGCACGGGACTGGCGCGCACTGGCACTAAGAAAATCGCACCATGTTTTCTTTCTTTCTTTTTTCGCAACGAATGCAAAAAGCCGTCGTCTCCAAAGGCCAAGGATGCAGTAGAATTGCACAGAGCCGCACAACGTCAACGAGAGCGAGGCCCCCTGAGCCGTTGGACGTGCGATGCGGCGTAGTGAGTCGATGCCGGCGCTCTAATAATGAGTTTGCCGAGCCCCCCACTCGGGGGTAAACACACGCAAAAAAAACGTTCACCTCAAAGTGAGATGGGTGAAAAGAGGAGCAGGTCCCCTCCAATGAGGTGTCTTTCTTGTCTAAACGGCTATCTCCAGCTCGCTGCACCCGGGGGCGATCTTTGGAGGTGGGCTCGTGTCGCGGAGACTCTGAGCGGGGGGTCGCGGGGGTCGCCGCGGCTATAAATAAATAAATAAATAAAACGGTCAAACTCTGAGACGAGATGGGATTTAGGGTCATGTGTCCCCGCCCTGCACGATCTTGGTGTGAGGGATCTTCAATCCGCCCCCCTCACCCCTCGTCACAAACCCGACACAGAAGAGAGAGCGGCAAGAGTTGGGGCTAAAATGTATAGATAAATAAATTAATAAAAACGGACACCTCTCTACTGTGAGGAGCCCCCCCCAGCACTCGGTGCTGGCGTCACGCAGCACGCCCTGCTGGGGGTAGATGCCGAGGGCATCGCCAGGCTCAACCATGCCGCTCGACGCGGTGACCGCCTGCTGAGGCGTGGTGCCCCAGTTGCTGGGCGCTGCCATCCCAGCGTCGGACTCCAGGATCGGTCCGACTCCTGCGGCGGCACCTGCAGGGCCAAGGACCGTACTGCCGCCTTCCGCGTGGAGCGGGCGTGAGGTGTGGCTGCGTGTGGGTGGCGCACTGGGCTGAGCACCACCAGCGCGCAAACTATAGCACCGGGGGACCGGGGGAGACGAGCTTTCTCGCAGTCGATTCCCGGATAAGGGGCCGAAACGCCGAACGTCTGTTGGGTTAACGATAGGCGAAACCATGGCGGGCGCCGGGAGATATCGCCGCTATGAGAAACGAGATCGCGCCGAGGTTGTACGTATGAGGTGGAGTACGATCTCGGAAAGTCCCCCCCCTCCCCCCCCCCCCCCCCAAACCCAACACGCTATGAAAATAAACTCGGGGCGCACGCACGTACACCTTCTCCATTGTCGATCTCTCTCCACTAGCGACCTTCCCCTCGGCTGTCGGAAAAGAAAGAAAGAAAAGAGCCAAGCCAAGAGAGGGATGCGGGCGCGTGTTTTACATGTTCGGTTGTTTTCTTTTTTGTGCCAGAAAGAAAACGGACAACCCAAGGGAGGGATGGGAGGACGGCACGCCGCCACCACACAGGGATTTTTTGTGCCAGCGTGCGGGCGCGCAGAATTCTTTTTGAGTCCGCTGCGCTAAGCCATCCCGCAAGCGGGATGGCCCGACACTCGAACCCGCAAGCGGGCGTACGAACCGCGAGCGGCTCGCACTCGTGACACGCAGGCGTCCGACACACGGCGCCGGGGCTAGCTAGGCACCGAACGAAGAGGAACTACGGCAAGAACCGCACACCACCCGCTGACGAGCGCTCGCGGAACTGGTCCGTGTGTGTGTGTGTGTGAGAGAGAGATTGTGTTGAGTGTTGTGTGTGTGTGTGAGGTAAGGTAACTCTAAAACACAAAGTGGTGGGGCAAGGGGGGGCGACCCTCGCATCTCCACACCCGGACACACACGGGCAGGAAGGAGCCCCACGGCATTCAAAGTCTCTGTAACAAAGTGCAAGGAAGCACTGGCCCGGTGCACGATTCGATACTGCACGTGGCTCGTGGGTGAGCAGCCTGCCCCTCCCTCCCGACCAGGAACTCCCGCACACGTGAGAGGAAGCTCTGGACAACGGTGTCGTGGGGCTCCTTTCTAGACCTTCCCATACTGCGTTGGTGTCCAGACTCCAGTCCGAGCCTGACTGGCCTTGTGTCATGTGTCAGCCCAGGCGAGCCTTGGATAGCCTTTGTGCGAGAGACACGACACAAGACAATGCTAACAATGCAACACGCACGGCGGGGCGAGTCGGAGTGGTAGGGGCTAGGGCTGGTGACTGGTGGTGGCGCGGGCCCAGGCGCCACAGGCCCCAGCCTTTGCAGATTTTGCACGCGGCACGCGGGCTCTCCAGCGAAGCAGCGTCCACAGACCACACACCACAGCCGGTGGGGGCGCTCAAGACAAGTGTGTCGTCCTTGACCAGGTAATTGGTGGCCCGAAAAAAGAAACGGGGACGCTGTCCTGTGCCATACATTAATCATTATACAACGCCGTTTTCGCTTCCACAGAAACACTTGTGCGCTCATAGATGATAGTTCATACATAGATCGGTCTCCTTCGCGCTTCGCCCCCTGAGCCCTGTCATTCCTTCACCTTCTCGAAGCCGAGCAGCACGACCATGGCCATCGTGAAGGCCGCCGCCGCAGCCCACACAGCGGCAGCGCGGCCCGAGAACTCGCGGTAGAAGAGGAGGCTCCACGCGCCAGAGGTGACGAGATTGGAGGCCTGCCCGTGCCGCAATCGTGTCACGCTCCCCGGCTCTCTCTCTCTCTCTCTCTGTGTGTGTGTGTCTCTCTCTCCGTCTCTCTCTGTCTCTCTCTGTCTCTCTCTGTCTCTCTCTGTCTCTCTCTGTCTCTCTCTGTCTCTCTCTGTCTCTCTCTGTCTCTCTCTCTCTCTCTTCTCTCCCTCCCCCTCCCTCCCCCTCTCTCCAGCTCCCCCTTCCCCTCGCCTGGAGCGTCACGGTCGGCATCTCTTCCTCGTCTCGCGCGTGTCTCGCGCCGTCCATCCACAAGTGGGGGGGGGGGTGGCGGTGGGCGGTGGGCGGCGGGCGGCGCCTGGAACTGAGCCACCGTCACCGCGTTGCCGCCCAGCTCGACGGCGAGCGTCGACAGCAAGTTGCCCGCCGTCCAGCAGAGGCCTGCGCCCAGACCAGGCAGCACCGCCGCGCGAAGCACCTCGTGCGCGAGAGATGGCGAGAGATGGCGAGAGATGGCGAGAGATGGCGAGAGATGGGAAGAGGAGCACCTCGCTCCTCCGGGGGGGCGGCAACGGCGCGCCGCCGCACATTCCGGTCGCCTAACAAAAGAAATCCAATGCCGAAACCGACCCGTTGGAGCGGCGCCGCCGCGCCTGCCGCGCCTAAAAAGAAATGCCGTCAGGATAGAAGGAGAAGACTCGTTGGAGCAGCGCCGCCGAACATGCCGGTCGCCGACGCAGCGGCGGAAAGAGCGGCGGTGATGGCGATCGCGCCGAGTCCAAAGGAGCAAGTCCACGAGCCTAGTGGCTCGAGCTCCGGCGCCTAGAAGCTTCCTAGAAGCTTCCTAGAAGGTTCCTAGAAGGTTCCTAGGAGGTTCCTAGGACCGCCCCCAAAGGAGCAAGTCCACGAGCTCCGGCGCCTTGGGCGGCAGATGCCGCTGTGCCAGCGTGACCATCACGTACCTAGAAGGTTCCTAGAAGGTTCCTAGAAGGTTCCTAGAAGGTTCCTGGAAGGTATGCGTGACCATCACGTACTGGACAGAGGCGAAGACGCCGGCGGCGGCCGCCAGCGCGTACCCAACGCGGTCAAAGGGCGGCAGAGGAGCGCCTAGAAGGCTCCTAGAAGGTTCCTGGGCGGTCCCTACCCATTGCGGTCAAAGGGCGGCAATTTCAGCGCCGCTGCCGCCGCCGCCGCTCCGCACGCCGCGAGAGTAGCCGCTGCCGTGCCGTGCCTCGCCACGCGAAGAGAGGGCGCCTAGAAGGTTCCTAGAAGGTTCCTAGAAGGCTCCCAGAAGGACCTCACCCCGCCAAGGAGGGCGCGATTCGGGTCGTCGCGGCCGCCGTCTTCGCTCGACGTCTCGGAGCCTACGAGGAAAAGAGTGCTCGCCGTCAACAGAAAAATGAACGCCACCAAGGGACCTTCAGGCCCTCCCTCGGCCCTCGGCGCCAGGGCTAGCCGTTCGCACCCCCCCGGACTGGTCACTCCGCGCCATAGGCCTCCCCGGCACCACGGGCAACCCCTCCGCGTCTGCTCTGCGCGGGCTGTGCAGCGCCTCGCTGTCCGCCTCGCCCTCCTCCTCGGCGAGGACGAGGGGCGCTGAGGGGTGCTGCCTCGCGCGCTGCAGCGAGAGCCGAGGCGCAAAGATGAGACCCGCCATGCCGAGCAGCACGCCTAGAAGGTTCCTAGAAGGTTCCTAGAAGTGTCCTAGAAGACCCGCCATGCCGAGCAGCACGCCAGCGAGGTAGGCGGGCGCGAGGAGGAAGGTGCCGCCGCCGTCGAGCGTGTGCACCTTGAGCCGCTCACCCAGCGCGATCGAGCCGGCGAGGAAGGAGGCGAGCGTCCCGGTGCCGGCCGAGGTGAGCATCACCGGCCCGACTCCGAGCCTCGGTACGGCTGCGATGGTGCAGAGCCCGGCGGGGATCCAGGCGGCGGCGGAGGCTACGGCCCACCACGTGAAGAGGAAGGGCTCGCCGCTGCGCGCCAGCCGCAGCAGCACGAGGCACGCGCCGAGGAGACAGCAGCAGCTGGACTTGGCCGACTGGAAGAAGAGAGGAGGCACGCGAGCGGCGAGCACGGCGGGCCGCTTGAGAAAGATTGGGTAGGAGCCGTTGAAGAGGCCGGCGGCGATGGCGAGGGCGGTGCAGCTAATGCTGCTCATGGAGCCCGCCGGAGGCTCAGATAGCTCAAAAAAAGAATTCGTTGTGGGCTTTCTCAAAAAAATAAAAGTGGTGCCTCCGCCAGGACAAAGAGAAAAAATCTCGGCCCTTGACCAGAGGCTGTCCTCCGGCACCTCCCTGCTGCCAACGCCAATGGAGTGGCGCCTCGCGCGCCCCTCGCCCGGCGCTCAGCCGCACGTCTTGCAGACGCCAAACTGCGCAATCTCGCTCTGTGCGCACGCCTCCCGCTGGTCGGCGGGCAAGTCGCGGCAAGGCGTCGGCGCCGGCGTCTCGCACTCCACCCCCTTCGCGGCGCAGATCGCCTCCAGATCTGGAGACACGATGTCCACAAATAGCTTTTGCAGCCTCGGCAGGGAGCCGCGCGACCCATGAAGGTATAGACCGTCTGGTCTCCCAGGTATCCGACATAGTAGCCGGTGCGGCCAGCTGCTATCCGGTCGAGGTATCGCACATACGTTGCGGAAGCGCGGGCAGCGACGAGGTTCATGAGCTGGACGCCTCCGTTTCTTCCAACCTGGGAGGGAGGCGAGGGAGATGATGGAGGCGAATGTCTTCGTAGACCAAGTGCGCTCTGCGACTCTCCCTCTCTCGCACCATGTTTTCGTAGAGGTTGCTTTGCTCCCTGGCGATGCCGATCACCGCACGGTCGCCAAAGCTTTCAAAGACCGACCATAGCTTGATGATGGGGCGCAAGACGACAGTGTCAGTGTCAAGCAGGATGATCCTAGGCACCTACAGACTCACCACCGAGGCGCAACGTTCAGATCCACGCGATTGACCCTGGACAGCACTATCGACACCTCGGGTGGCAGGATCCAAGGCAATAGCGTCTTGATGAGGTACGCCTGCATAGTAGAAAGAGCTGCGTCGGAACGATGGCAAGCGAGGCGGCCCTCGTGAGTGGGTGTGCACCGGGCCGGGCCCATGGGAGTTGTGCGCAAAGTTGTCGTATATGCACGCGAGTCGCTTCGTCAGCTTCATCATGGTGACACGGATCCCTGACGGCACATCTGCAGCGACTGGCTTGACTGCTAGCAACGCGTGCACCACTACGCCTGATGAGTTGAACAGCGCAGCGGCCTTGCCCATCTCCCACAGGCTCGGACTCGGCCGCGTGTCGAAGAAGCCAACGTGGATGAGCTGCTTGCTATTGTCGGGCAACGGTGGGCCGTACGCCAGCTTGTCCCACACGATGTGATTCCACTCGCGGAGCAGCACGGCCGCCCCCCTTCCTTCAGGCAGGCATGGCTTCCGCAACCTGGGGCAGTCCATTGCATGCGAGTTCGGGTCGGCGCAGACGCGCAGCAGGAGGGGCGCGAGAAGCGGGAGCGGCATATACAAACACACACACATCTAAAGATATAAGGGCCTCGCGTCGTCCGCCGTTTATCCCCGTGACCCCCAGAACTCGCGGACCCGAGGAGTCTGGAGCTTCAGCTGGCGATCCATCATGCCGCTCTCGGCACCGCAGCAGCGCGAGCGCCGCGCCGCGCAGCGCGCTGCCGAGGCTCAGGACGCGGCTCGCGGGCAGCGCAACCGCCCGGCGCCGAGCCGGTGCTAGGCCGCCTCCGCTGCGCCTGCTTCCTTGCGCGCCGCTGGACGTCGGCCGAGAAGACCGCTTCCCTCTGGGGACCCGACTCCGCGAAGATCGCGCGCGCGTCGTGAGTGGCGGCGCGCGCGCGATCTCCGTTCCCGGGCACGCCGGTCGCAGTGGCATGGGCTCCCAGGCTCAAAAGCGCTCCCGTCAACAGCGAGCGAGCGCCGCCGCTGCTCCTCCTCCCGCCGCCGCTCACCGAGACTCGGTGCCGCCGTTCTCGCCGCCGCCGCCGCCGCCGCCGCCGCCGCCGCCGCCGCCTCGCGCCTCGCCTCCGTCACCGCCGCCCTCCATCTCGCAGCGGCGCGTCCCTCTGATGGCGCGGGCGCCTCGCTCACCGGCGCCTCGCCGCCGCCCCCCCCCCTTCTCGCGCCGCTCCGCTCGTGGCCGCCGCCTCCCCTGTCAATCCCGCCGCCTCCCCTGTCATCCCGCCGCCCGCACCACCGCCGCCACCGCCTCGCGCCTCGCCGCCGCCGACACCGACCGCCCTCTCCCCTACGCCGCTCTGAGCGCGGTGCAGGCTGCAGCTGGGGGCGAGCCCCCGCGGCGCAGCCTCACCGCAGTGCACTGCGCTCTCCGCGCCCCTGACGATTAGTGAGGAGGTGGTGTTGCACAGCATGGAGCTCGGCGAGCGTTTAGCGAGCCCCTCAGCTAGTATACGTATATGGCGAACGGTTGGAGTGTGGTGCCCGCCGCCTGCACGGTCGTGCGACGAAAAGAATTTTCTCTCCGACGCACTTGCCACGCGACAGAGGAGGAAGTGACAAGGGAGAGAACGACGAGAGTGGGACAGCCGCGAGGTGGCATGAAGGTTGCAGCGAGAAGCGGCGAGAGACTGCGAAAAGAGATACGAAGAGGCAGACTCCCCAGGGTGGGCGACGGCTAGCGCATCACACTCTCCTCTCCTTAAAATCCCTGTGTGGTGGCGGCGTGCCGTTCTCCCATCCCTCCCTTGGGTTGTGTGTTTTCTTTCTTTCCCTTGGGTTGTCTGTTTTCTTTCTTTCTTTTTTGCCGAGGGCAAGTACCCAAATCCGCTAGGTTGGGCGTGCTTTCACAGCCTCACGAGAGTAAAAAGAATTTTACATATTACAACTCCCTCGACGAAAAGAATTTTACCAAAAACGACGACGAAAGAATTTCATAACAAAACTCCCTCGCACGACACTGTAGGTATATTGTTGACACTGGGCACGGGACTGGCGCGCACTGGCACTAACACACCCCCGGCCACCTCTCTCTGTTGTGCGAGGCGTGAACCGCGCCATTCGCTCTCACCTGGCAACCCTGTCTGCACGTCTCGCGCGCGCGTGAACAGGGCTCCAGGCCCCAAATGACGTGTGAGTGTTAGAGTTGTTTGGTATTGCTAAAAATCTCTCTCAAAGGCGCGAGACACACCAAGCAACTCAAACAAAAAAACAACATACATCATTTGTCTATCCAGAAAGAGAGAGAGAGAGATTTTGAGAGAGAGATTTAGCAGAAAGAAAGAAAGAAAACAGAGATTTAGCAACACCATTCCTAAAACTGACGTGCCAATTTTTTTTGGGCAAGGCGTCTATTCGGTGCTCTGCACGTAATAGCGTGCGGCAGTCGTGCGGCAGGCACCTGCCGGACGCAAATGGGGCCGCCTGGTGGCCTCCGAGCGCCAGCCGAAGCAACCCTCGTCGTGCCCCGACACCCCCCCGACTCATGATGTGCCGCTCTTGCCTGTGTGGCCGCTGACGGCGGGACCCCGTGCGCGGCTGCGCCGCAATCTCGTCACTGCCGTCGTCACACCTGTCCACAGATGCGACGGGTGCCTGTCCGACCGCGACAAACAGGCCTCGTTGCGGATCGCCAGCCCGCCCGTTGCCTCCGCAGACGCCCAGCTAGCCGAATCGTCGTTACCTTCCGCAGACCGACTTCGCGAGCGAGCGGGCGCGTTCTAGATGACGGTCACGCCCAACTCACCGGCCTTGTGGCCTGAAACCGATTCTGAGCCCTGCCTCCCCCGAGCGGGTATGGCCGCTGCCCGGCGGCCCGCGGTACGATTCGGTCCCGCCACCTCCCCGCCGTCCCGGTTCCCGCAGGTGAATTAATGCGAGTTCGCCACCCTCCTCGCCGCCCTCTCCGCCACTGTCGCCTCCGCGCTCTCCTCCGCCGTCGCCGCCGCCCTCGCCTCCACCGCCCTCTCCGCCACCCTCCCCGCGGCCTTCTCCACCGCCCTCTCCGCCGCTCTCTCCTCCGCCGTCGCCGCCGCCCTCGCCGCTGCCGCCGTCGGTCTCGCCGTCGCCTTCTTCCGTGTCGCTGTCGCCGCTCCGCCGTCCGTGTCGCCGTCGCCGCCTCGGATCCGTCCGTGTCGCCTTCGCCGCCTCCGTCCGTGTCGCCTTCGCCGCCTCCGTCCGTGTCGCCGTCGCCGCCTCCGTCCGTGTCGCCTTCGCCGCCTCCGTCCGTGTCGCCTTCGCCGCCTCCGTCCGTGTCGCCGTCGCCGCTGCCTTCCTCCGTCTCGCCATCCCCGCCGCCGATCTCACCTTTGCCGCCTCAATCCATGTCGCCGTCGCCGTCGCCGCGTGCTGGACTGGAAGATGTGGTCAAGCTGGAAGCGGAAAGGTCCTCACAAGTGCAGAGGTCCTCACCTCGTCGGAGGTCCTCAGATGGCCTCATCGAGACCAGAGGTCCTCGCGCAGATGCTGACCATCGTGGGGCTGGCTCGTGGCTGTTGGCGACCGAGCTAGGATGCAGACCCGAGAGCATCCAATGGCACGAGCATCCTAGCTCCCCTTGCTGCGTGGGCATCTCATTAACAAACGTGACGACATCTCAACGGGGCGAGATCGCGTGTGGTGTTTAAAATTGTATGTTTTTAGCTGCAGTCACTGAGTCAGGCGTCAGGTGCGAGCTGTGCAGGGTTGAATACGCGGTCTCGAGCAGCCATATGCCATCTGCTACCAGCGTAAGCGGTGTCGAGCCTTGGCTGTTCACGATCTGCGAGACGAAGCTCCTGTCGGCTGCCTCCTCACAATCGAGATCGTGATTGGCTGAACAGCCACGGCTATCGAGACCATGATTGGCTGAGCCGTGGCTGTTCACGATCGCTATCTAGTGTCCCCGGTTTTTGTTGTTGACTGCTGAGAGATTTGTTTGTTTGTTGACTGCTGTGTTGATAGCTGCGAATTATGTTGGGCCGCTAACCTCGAATTACTTTTTTGCCACTGCGCGCGCGGAAGTGTGGACGACACGAAGATCTTTGCCGGTGTGCCGTCGGACCCCTCGGGGGTGGGGCGCATGGGGGCGTTCGTCGCTTGCGGCAACACGCTGCCACGCGCCCGCGAGACGGTTCTGGGCGTGGAGGGCGGGGACAGGGGCGGGAGGGTGGGGATGTGGGACCCGCGGACGGGGACCGGGACGGTCGAGGCTGTCAAGGGCCAGTACACGGACGCAGAGGGGAAGTGCCGCGTGGAGGCGCTGCTCTTCGAGGAGTTCGGCGCAATGAGCGCGGGGGTGGAGGAGCTGCTGATGCGGGTGGCTGAGGTGGCGGGCCGGAAGCTCACGTGGTGGCAGTACGACCAGACATCGTGGTCGGCGCGCGAATGGATGCCGTTTGCGCTGCAGCGACTGTCGGTGCAGCTCTGGACGGCGCTCGCGGACGAGGCACAGCGCGCCATTGGTGCGGCGTCGCGCGGCCGCGAGGGACCGCGGGGGGGGGTAAGCGGGATGGGGGGCTCTAAGGGGAAGGGAGTGGGGGGCGCCCAGTAGGGCGCCGGCACCCCAGCGTAGAGGGCCTCGTGTAGCCCTCCTTTTCGTATATATAACAAAATTGCTAAAAATCTCTCTCTCTCTCTATATACAAAAGTGTGGACGTCCAAGGGCGCTTGTTTGGAGCAAGGGCGAGTCCACGTCTCCTAGCTCGATGTCGCGCATCACCGTCCGTGAGCAAGCCGATGGCAAGCTGGTCGGGTGGCAACCGTCGACGGATCCGGCCCACCGTGGCGTGCGCGGTGTTCCGCCGCCGCTGGCGGGCACGGTCGAAGGCTCATGTGTCACCTTCCCCAGCGTGTCTGCGCCTGAGTTCCTTTACCGGTGCTTGACGGTGCCTCATAAGCTGTCTGCGGACTCATCCGAGGGTCTCGCGACTCGAAGTATCGGCCTCGGCAAGGCCTTCGTCTCTTTCGCTTCTCTCTCGACCAACTTCTTGACGTACGCCGTCTCTGGGATCTTCTACGACCGCTCCCTGCTGCGGACAGCGCTCAACGTCACGCTCGACGTCGCAGGAGTGCGGAGCTGCTCCAGCCTGGCCAACTTTGCGCTGCAAACCGCAGGCCGGCTCGGCTTCACGCACGCGGAGGTGGCGGTCAAGGACTCGACTGTCGTACCGGCCGCAGTGTCCAGCATGCCTGCCGTCGTCTCCGACCTCTTCAACTCTCACTGCCTCGTCCACGTGGGCGTCGTATCTGGCGGCCGAGTCTGGAACACGTTCAACCCTGCCATGACCGAGTACGTCGCCAACCGCGGCGTCGACAAGGAGAACGACCTGGAGCACGCCTCGATCGCCCACGTGCTGGCACGCATGCTATGGCGGCTGGTGGATAGCGACGAAGAGCGCACGCCTATGCTACGGGCCATGGCTCGAGTGCTGCATGCGCCGCTGTCGCCGGTCGACTCGACAAGCGAGGTGGCCCAAGCTGAGGCCGACGAGGTGCTGATGCTCTCGATGAAGCGTTCCAGCAGCTACGTGCATGGCCTCTCCTCTCTGGGCGTCCCGATGGAAGAGGCGCCGGACGAGTCGGTGGTCGTTCCGCACCGGTACGTCGTCCGCCTCGTCCGCGTCAAGGATGCCGCGAGCGGCTGCGACGCTCTCATCTACGTGGGCGTCGACGTCCCCGCCGGGGCGGACGGACGGGGCATCTTCCAGTTCGAGAGCGGCGGCTGCCTCGGCCGGCGCAAGCGGGCGCTCGCGGACTCCGCTACCTACTCGCACGGCAGCGAGTCGCCCTCGGTCTCTGAGACCGGGGCGGCCGAGGCCCTCGACGAGCCGCCGCAGGCGCAGCCGGAGATGGTGCGCCGGAGCTCGAGCAGCACGAGCAGCGCACGCAGCGCCGTCGTGCGGGAGGGAGCCATCCGCCACCAGCGCAAGCGGTGTCGAGCCGCGTCGCCGCCCGCGCTCTCGTCGGTGTCTGAGGAGGAGCTGCTCACCGTGCTCGATAGTGAGGAGGCAGCCGACAGGAGCCTCGTCTCGCAGATGCTCGCCATGATTGGCTGATTCAGATCGCCATCAATTGTTTGTTTACCCGGACGACTGTTTTTGTTGACTGCTGTGTTATGTTAGAACAACAAGCTAAAGCGCACTCGGGGGCCCACAGACGTCCCGCACACCCGCCGCCCCGCGCCATGCCCCGCGCGCGCCCCGCCCCGGCCGGGAAAAGGGACAGTTTGGGACGGCGATAGCGCGGGGTTATACGGGTATATTGGCACTTCTCTCTCTCTCTCTCTCTCTCTCTCTCTCTCTCTCTCTCTCTCTCTCTCTCTCTCTCTCTCAGTAGCGCGCGACCTTGGGCACATGCGCAGCCTCAAACAGCTTCTCACCGTCGGGGCCATAGAGGGTTCCCCGAAAGTCCTGAGACATGTCTGCGTTTTGGCGCTTCATCGTGATGCCACGCGCTCGCATGGCGGTGATGAGGCGCATGAGCATCTCCTGCTGCGTGCCAGACTTCTTGACGGCGAGGTAGCCGAGGTGCTGCTTTAGGTACACGACGAGAAGTCTGGCACCGACGAGGCGCTCCAGGTCGCCCATGCTGAGCGCCAAGAGCTCCTCGCTGAACTCTTCCGTCTTCTTGGCCTTGGCTTTCCCGCCCTCGCCGACCGATGCCGACGGCGTTGCCTCCGCCAGAGTCGATGACGGTCGTGTTGTCCGCCAGAGACGCCTGTCAGCCACAGAACGCGAGAGGGTAGTCTTGCAGGGAAGACGCAGCGTTGCGTGCGTTGCAGCGGCGCGCGCGTGCATACCCCTCACCCAGCCACTGCAAATTAACGCACACCTGCTTGTCAGCAAGCGGCGGCGGAGGAGAGAGCTTGAGCACGAGCTTGTCACCGGCGGCCGGCGCGAACTCGAGTTTGAGCATGTTGATCGAACGAATTCCTGCAGAGAGGCAAGAAGGTGGGGCCGCCGGCACGCTCGCTCGCGTCCTCGGCGCTCGGACTGGAGCCGGGCGGCGATTGGCGAGCAAGCGAGAGCGGGTCGCTCTCTTGCCAGAAGAGAGGGAGGGCGGTCGCGCGCGGGACAAGGGTGGGGAATGGGCAGCAGCGGACGCGTCTCGCGCCCTCCTCAATGGCAGCGGCTGTACCTGCGAGCGGGAGTAGGCAGGCGGTGCGAGGCCGAAGGGGGGACGACGCTCGCGCCGCGAGCAGAGGCGTTGACCGAGATGTGCATAGGTTCCTACATCTTCGAGTCACCGTTCACACCAGTGGCAGCCGCACAGCTGTGACAGCGATGGGCTCGCCCTCACTGGCCCTCAGTCACTTGAGTGCTGCGGCTTGTGTGAGCGACACTGCTCGGCGACTGCCGGGGCACACTGTGAGACGTGGGTGTGAGGTAAAAGCACGCTACCAGCGAGCGGATGCTATGCCAACTGTGCAGAGTGTGTGAGCAGCAGAGGAGCTGCTCTCCAGGCTTCATATGATGTAACATACTTGACGCCCCCCCCCTCGGCCTCGTCTTTTCGTGGGTAAACGAGCGTGTATCGCGCGCCTTGCGGGGGGGGCGCGGAAAAGAGGAACCTCTTGGCGTCATCGCCATGGTGCTGCAAGCAGCGCCGGGCAACGACGACTTACCGCCTCCCGGTCCCCCTCGGCACACCTCCGCTGCTTAATGTTTGACGACTCGAACCCGTGAAGCTTCCCCGTGCGCGGGTTACCCCGCACACGGGTCAGCCTGCCAGCCACGTATCCACGCAAGCGTGGTCCGCGCGCATGGCATACAGGCGTTCGCCAGACAGCGCAGAGGCTAGGCGACCGGGGAAGGACTAGCTCAAGGGCAACACAGCGTCACCAGCCGTTGGCGCGCAGAACGAGTCTGCGGCCCCCGGTTGGGACGAGTGCGCGACGCGGACGAACCGCTCAATGTGGCCGGCAGCTCGCGCTGCCGGCGGGGTTGGTTGGGGAGAACCGGCACGGGGAAAGCCGGCCTCCCCGGAGGGTTCGCCCCCTGGAGGGGCCCCAAAGGGCCCCCCGGGGGGGGCGGGGCCCCCCGCCCCGAGGGGCGGGGGCAGGTTCGTCGCTTAGCGCGATGGAGTCAACCCTTGTTGCCAAGTCGGCGAGCGTGTTGTGTATCGAGAGCGAGACCATAGCAGATGCGAGAGCGGCGTCGTCCGGGGAGAGTGGTGGTGGGGGAGGGTCAACATCGAGGGCAATTACGCATCGTGCTCCCCGCTCGCCTGCTCGCTCGGCACATACTCGGACCATATCGTTCGAACTCGGGGGGAACGGCGAGGGTTAGCGACGGGTGCGGCTTTAGGGTCGGTGGCGGGCGAGGGGTGGCTGTCAGGGCTGGCTGGGGCTGTAGCCGTTGGTGTAGCAGGTCCACCGTTGGCGTCGCTATCATCATTTCTCTCCGAGTCCTGGGCGCTGCCTGTTGCTCCGTGTCCACTGGTACTGCTGTCGCTTCCCTCCGCGTTGCTTTCCTCGTCGGGAGTGTCCGTCGGGATGGTGTCGTCCGCCCACTCGGCAGCGTTTGAGCCTCTGTCGCCCTGCCTGCCGCGAGCTGCTAGCTCGTCGACGTAGTCGTTCCATTTGTTGCCGCTGTGACCCGCCACATGCCTCCACGTCACGGTGTGATTGGCGCGAAGGCGTCGCCAGAGGGAACGAAGGCGCTCCGCCAGCTGTCTGTTCGTTTTGGGGGTCACCCGTCCCATCATGCATGCCGCCGCGTACTCGCTATCGGTCCGCACTACTCCGCGTGATCCCGCTTGTTGCGGTGACGAGGATAGGAGAGCCCGGAGGAGCTCGGCTAGGGCGGTTAGTTCCGCCGTGTTGTTGGTATGCTTTCGCGCGCCGAGGTAGGCTGGGTGTGCGCCGCCGAAGTGACAACTCCTGGCCCGTAGCCCTCGCTCGTCAGCGACGCGCCCTCATCGCCGATGGCGTCGCCCCCGATGAGTACTGCATAGGCCCACCCTGCTTTCCCTAGGTCCTCCGACCCGTCTGTGTATGCCACCCAGTCGGGCGGGCGTCGTTGCGCCTGCTCTGCCAGTTGCTGCTGTGGGCGAAGAACGACCCCTGGTGCCTCTACCATTAGTCTCAGCTTGACCCGGCATGCCCCCCCTTCACCCTGAGGCGCTACACAGAGGAGTGCGACTGTGCTCACCGCGCAGCCGTTTGCCGCCACCCCTCGGACAGATTTGAGCGTCTCGGGGAGCGCGCACTCGCCTTCGCTGGAAAAGAAACCTGAGGCGAGCCACTCCGTCTCCCACTCCGCAACGGGCCCCTCCCCTGGCGACGGCTGCCAGCCCGGGATTCGGAGGCGGGGATCGCCTTTTCCTCGTCGATAGCTCGGCGGCGGGTGTGCGTGGGCGTAAGTCCGGATTAGAGCTCGGCGCGCCTCGTTGTAGATCGTGTCAACTCGCACGTCCGGCGTGTCGTCCGGCGCAAGGAGGGCGTTCCGGTGGCGCCGTCGTACGATGCCTGCAAGTGTCTCAACTATGATAACGCGAGTCGGCGTCGCCCCAATGCGTCCCTCAGCCATCTGTCCTCTACCTCATCGAGGTAATGGGCCCGCGTCAACTTGTTCTGCAGCACGTTCGCCGCCCCCCAGAGGATCTCGCCGACCCCCTTCCCAAACCCACCGAACGACTCGAACAGGAAAAGAATTTTAGAACCAAGGCGGTCGCACGACACGATTCACGCGACAGGCGAGGCGCGGGCGACGGCTTCCTCAGAAGCCGTCGCCCGCACCACAGGAGCAGAATTTTATCATTGAATCCCTCGCACGACACTAGGCACGGGGGACTGGCGCGCCTGAAAAGAATTTTACAACCCAACTCCCTCGCACGACACTAGGCACGGGACTGGCGCGCCTGAAAAGAGAATTTTACAACCCAACTCCCTCGCACGACACTGGGCACGGGACTGGCGCGCACTTTGACACCACGGATTAAAACAAAGGAGGAAGCTCATGGACATCAGGCTCTGTCGGCGCAAAGAAGGATCGCACGAACTCGCGTGACGTTGCGGCAGCGAGCGGAGCGCTACGTTGCTCCAGCTCGAGCAGCCGCAGCTCGGCTGCGGCGTCCGCGGCGCCGTCAGGCGGCGCGGCGCCAGCATCGGCTATGCGGTAACCGTAGAACTGGTGCATACGATTGACGATGCGCGTCTCGAGCACGGGCTGCATCCCTCGCCGCGATGCGCCCGTGCCCGGCTCAGCCCACGTGCCGCCCGGAAAGCGCTTGCCGCGGAGCAGAACGAGCGCCCCCATTGGCAGCGTGCGGGCGAGGTGAGCCTCAAGCGCCTCCATGAAGGGCGTGTCCAGGGCAAGGGAGTAGCAGAAGCACTGCGTGCCATCACACAGCGCGGCGTGATCGAGCATGCTCCCACAGCTGAGCTCGATGCTCCGGGCGCGCGCTGGGGAGAGGACCTGCCGCTCGGCCGCCTGGGCGAGCGCAGCCGTCGCCTGCGCGTGCCGGGTGGCGGACAGCTCCACACCTGCCAGCCTTGTCGCGGGCGTCAGCAGCGCCAGCTGCAGGAGGAGCTTGCCGTTGCCAGAGCCGAGGTCGCAGATTACGACGTCCTCCTCCGCAGCGCCTACCGCCGGCCGCATCTCCCCAAACAGATGCGCCACCAGCTCGCCCTCGGTGTCTCCATAGACGTGCGCCCCTTCGCCGCCGTGCTCCTTGGAGCTCAGCAGCGCCAGTTCCGCGCTGCCCAGCCCACTAAAGTTTGTAGCCGTCGGCCCCAGCGCCTCGTAGATCTCTTCGAGCATACACAAGCGCTCGTCGATGGGCGACGAGTAAGCAGCCGTGTCCGTGGGCTCGCACGATTCCGACAGCCGCAGCGGCTCCGCCTCCCAGTCGTAGACGACGTCTTCCTCCTCGCCACCGCGCTCGTAGCTCCCATGCGCTTGGCAGAAAACGACCGCGGCGTATCGAGCTCCAGAGGCCGCGTCCAACGGTGACACCGCGTGAGGGCAGCGGTCGTCGGAGAAGAAGAGCACCAGCCGATCTCGGATGGGCGCGATGTCCGCGAGTGCGCCTTCGACAGCGACCACGTCTGGATCTGCGCCCGCTTCATCGCACGCAAGCGCCTCGGTCCCGCTGCTCGATTTGTATATGCGCAGGCGACCGCTGTTGGAAGCCGCGTCCCAGCTATCTTCCTGGAGGTAGTAGACGACAGAGAGCCGCCCGGGATGTCGACCTGGGAGGTCGACGTGCTTGCCTTGGCCGCCTCCGGCCCTCAAGCACGACAGAGCACACGATGAGAGCGAAATTCCCGCCAGCTCATCCGCTCCGCACTTGCCAAGACTAGCGACGAGCGTGCTGAGCTTCGAAGTCAGCACCTCGAAGCCGCTGGGCGAGGCGGTGGAGCGCCCTATGTTGAGGCAGCGCTCCCGAAGGAGGGTGGCCGCACGATCACCGAGAAAGCCGTCCAGCACAGCGTAGCTGCATTCCGTCAGATCGCTCGCAACTTGGCGCAGGCAGGCATCGTCATGCACGTCCACCATGGTGCTGCACTTCCATCAACGAAGCCATGCTAGCAGAGCAGTCTGTACTGACATGAGCCGCACACCTGAGAGTGGCCGCGTTGGGTAGCGTTCACAGCCTTGTTATTGAGAAGGATATCCTTTGGCCGCGTTGGGTAGCGAGGATTGGTGTAACCCAAGCCACGGAGGCGTGTTTTCTGACGGCCGACGACCGTCAGTGCACGGAGTTGCCCCTTCTCCGACTGCCCCGGCTAGTTCCCGAGGTCGTCGGGTGTGACCCCTGCGTCCCCCGAGACCTAGCGCGGGTGGGTTGGAGGGGGGCTCGCTGCAGGGAAGGGCTGTGTAAGAAGCCGATCCCCGTAGTCCGCCCCGCTCCTCCCTTGTTATTGAGAAGAAAATATCTCCTATGGCGCTGTGCGCTGGTCTGTGAGAGGTTGAGGTGCGAGCCCTGGAGGCCCTGGGGATGGGGTGAGACTACCCGCGGGCCTAGAAGGCCCGCGCGTAGGGGGGTGGGACATTGAGACCGGTCATGAATGAGTGCGCGACACGCATGTTGCATGTATGTATGTAGAAAGATGAACAACAGTCGGGCTCGGACTGGACACCAACGCGGTATGGGTGGACGCGGGACAGATGATGACGACACGCACGGAACGACACACAGACACAAACAAGCTCACAAGACACGCAGCCAGCTGGCTGCCACACACCCTGAGTTGGCGTACACATAACTCAAGGCCACATCCTCCCTGTCGCCCCCCCCAGCACTCCAAGGTGCCAAGAGAACAAACAAGGGCACAACAACACAACAGACGACAGGGGAGAACGCGTGAGGCTAGAGCAGGCTTGCTCGTCCTCTAGCAATCTCCGCCGACCGCGAGGCCGGACTAGACCGTGTGTGGGGTCATGTGAGGTGTCTCTGGTCACTCTCCTCAGGGGCTAGCCGCCAGCAGCTAGCCCTATCTCGCACTCACTGGCGGTGACAATTCTATGGGTGAGCGTATGCAAGTAGAGGCGCGTGAGCCGATTCTTGATCGCATGCCATTGGCATATAACTCGGCTTGGCGTGCGACCTCAGCGCGAGCAGCGTTGTTGATGTTTTGCGCGTCGCCACAGACGGCGGCGCGCGAGAGCTGTTGCGAGTGGTGCTGGGCGAAGCCCCGGGCGCTGCCGGAGGCTGTGCCGTAGTCGGTGCGGTCGACGGCGCTCGGGCTGCCGACCTCTTTGGCGAAGTTGAAGATGATTCTCTTGGTCGGCGGCGCAATGCCGTCCTGGCTTTCGACGAGACAAATTTTGACGATTCCGTTCTTGACATGGAGCGCGTCATAATACTGTCCCTTGTGCTCTTTGACCCAGCCTTTGCCGGTCGCATGGACGAGCGGGCCCTGTGACTTGTGGCCGTTCACCAGCATTGGGACATGGTACGGGCTCTCGCAACGAATGCTCTGGTCGGAGGCGCGGCTGAAGTTGGACAGGCCGCGCGAGACGGATTGCATCTCGCTGACGGAGGACAGGCACGTCTCAGTCTCGATGCCGAAACGTATGCCTCGTTTGACCCAACATCAACATGTTTGTCCAACTGGTCCGCGTCCGCGCTGACTTCCGATCACTCTTCTTTATAGTCTAAGACTCTTCACGTAAACAGGAGCTCACAGCCTAGCCGAGGTTTGGCCTATGACATCCGGCTCGCCTCGTGCTTCGTGTGGTTCTGTGCTTTGCTGTATTTGGGGCACCCACACTCCTTGGTGGTGGCTCCTTGCGACGAAATGTAAGGAAATCTTGTAAGGAAATCGTTTTCGTTACGACTGTTTCTTGATCTTGTTCACTCTTCACAATTCGGGGCGACATCCGAGCAGTACAACCTACTAGACAGACAGAGAGGGCGCGCATGCTGTCGTGTGCTCGGCCCAGAGGAGACACATCTACTCGCGTTTACGCTTGAGGCCGTGGTAGTGCGCAGCCGCCGCCTCGCCGCAGCCGCCTCAGCTGCCGCGCCGCCGCCTCGTAAGCTTACACGAGCCGCGCGCCCGCGAGCTACACGCCCGCGCTTCTCTCCGCCACCCTTGCTGCCGGAAGTCATCCCAACCAGACTAGTCAGGCCTGGCAAACAAGGATCCATCCTGCCACGTAGGCAAATTTGTGGTGTTGCTGAAACTTTGTGAAGCGAACCGAACTTCACGATCACGGTTGTCTTTGTTGTATCCTGATACTTGCCCTGCATTTTCATCTTGATCTCTTCCCCATTCGACGAGAATGTGCCTGTGATGTGCATGTTCTTGTGCGGAAACGCAGCCACAAATCCACTCTCCAAGAACAGTTCTGCATTTGCGAGGTCGTCGCAGCCCCAGCCACCCGCAAACTGCGCGTGGCACGCAGTCGCAAGGACACCGCCATCGTCGTCAACAGCCATGCTGAGCGAATTGACCTGTGGTGCGCTGCTCCAAGTTCTGGGCGCATAGGGCGGACACGCAACAACCCAATCAGAAGGGCCGGTTGCGTTTGATATCCAGTGCCCGGTGAGCATCAACCGGTCCAAAAGCGGCGTGGCTATGAATCCATTCGCCACTGCTGTGAGAGACAGCAGCGCCGCGCATCTTGCCATAGAGTACCAGAGGGGCTGGTGCCCAAGCCTCGCACGCTCGCTCGAGCTCGCAGACACCTTCTTGAGGAGCACGAGAAAACGACAACCTCTCTCACAGGTTCGACACACGCGAAATAATGTTAGCATAAAACTCCCACGCACGACAAGAACCTCGCAACGACGACAGTGAGGGTGTGAGAGACAGACCCAGGGAAGGCCTTTCCCCCCCACTACCTTACAGCCCCTGCCTGAGCTCAGGCTCGACAGAGGTCGGTTTGAACATTGACAGTTACGTACCCCTTTCACGCCGTAATCTCTCTCTCTCTCTGGGGGCGCCGACTACGTCTACGAGCCCAAGGGAGGGATGGGAGGGGGGTGGGCGGTGGGAGGACGGCACGCCGCCACTGCACAGGCGCAGGGATTTCAAGGAGAGGGGATAGCCGAAGCCGTCGCCCATCCTTGGTCTGCCTGAGAGGCGAATCCGGGACGGTGGAGGTTTGTGCCTGGTCCACTGTTACCTGGGCCGCGCGAACTTTTTCTTTTTCCTCGCGATGACATGTCTGCCCCGGAGCAGGCGCACATCGCTTCCAGGGAGGGGGGCGCCCTTCTCTCCACGCCCCACCCCCCCCCTTTTGTGGGCTGCAGCCTCGGGGGGGTCCGGACCCCCCCCCTGA